TCCCTAACGTTCTGTGATTCTGTGTGAAAGCAGCTCAATTCCCTGATGGTGGACAGCACTGTAGAACCTCAGTGTACAGGTGCTGGTTAATCAAGCGTGTTCATAGGAGCTGCCACACAGTCAACACTGAAGATGTAGTTGACATCAGCATTTTAGATGTTTGCACTGCTGTGTCCATGCCACTTCTGACCTATCTGTTCTCCTCTCATTGCTTCTTGGAGGTGCAAAACACCTTCTTGCACAACCAATGTTCATCAATCTCTGCTCAGCACATGCATTCCCATTGAAAACCCCCAATCAGGGTTGGCTTATATCCCCATTACTTCACATCTCTTCTTATGCTGTATCTCATCGTGCCGCATTTGATTTCTTCTCGCACACAGAAAACAGACTCTAAGCTATGTCAAATGGTCCCTGTTACAAAGACTGCTTACAGCCCTTTTGCTTTTCTGTTCAGGACGCTCTGAGAAGATCTTGTCTGTGAGGGGCATGTGAGAAACATTTGCAGGGAGAGAATACCCTTTTTGGACACAGTGGTCGGGGTAAGGCTCACGCTGCAGGCTTTAACACGGATTTTCCTCAGAGAAGCAAGAACACCACTGAGGGAGAGGAATGGAGCGCCTGGCCTCCTTCAGTAGTAAGTACCATGAGATGACATTTGGAAAGTGTTTGCCATTGTTTCAAGACATTAGCAGTCATGTGGGGGAGAGAGACAAAAAAACTACCAATATTTGGTCCACAGGGTCACTTCTGTGAACAAATTCTCAAGAGAACAAGTACATGAATGATTCAGTGGGAATTAGTGTCTTTTTCTACTTTTTATGTTTGGGCTAATTCAGATCTATTTTCTTGGAAAAAATGCGGCTTATAACTTGACAGTCTATTTATTTTGACTACTTTGTAATGAACAAAGTAAGAAGAACTTGCAGAGCAGTGTTTCACTCCTTGTTCAGCCATCTGAGTGGAGTCTGAGGTTTGGATGGGTTACAGAACAATCTTCTTGATGCCTTTGCAACCACAGCAATATGCTTTACAAGTCTGACTTGAGGTGGATGGATGGGAGACTGCAGCTGTGTGCAGTATTCTCCACAAATAAGGCTTTGGCTCTGGTCTTCGATGCAGAAGATGAGCATGGGCCCTGGATCAGATCAGCCAGCTAGCACAGCTTGCCAAGTTGTACCGCGAGGCTGCTACAGAGAAGATTTTCTTTTGACTCCATTACACAAGTTTAGATTTAGCCCTCCATGTATCAGGTCTAGTGGGGATGCAGTGCCAACACCTCTCTGATAGCTCTAGCTGAACAAGGAACTTTTAACAGGTGTTTGAAGAAGCTGCAGTAGGAAAAAGGTTATATACAGCTGTGTTCACTTAAAGTTTCTGGGCACGAGTGGTTTTAGATGACTGCAAAACCAGTGCTTTGTTTATGTGGCACGAGATTTACTTCTGTCTTCACAGATGACCCTTTTGATAAGCCTCCGTGCCGAGGTTGCTCTTCGTACCTCACAGAACCCTACGTTAAATGTGCTGAGTGTGGGCCTCCTCCCTTCCTCCTGTGTTTGCAGGTGAGTGCAAGGATAAAAGCAAAGGCATTAATTTACTTGAGAAAGTCATCAAAGGGCTGGCCGCTGCCAAGCTGTTCCACAGACACATTAATAACTGGTCTCTGTAAACTTGTATCAACACACTTATTTGCTCAGGGACAGGGAAATGACAAAGAAAATGTTGGAGGCTGAAGTACTGAGGCATGAGCAGCTGAAGGAGATCTTTGTGAAGGCAGTCTGTGTAACGGAGCATGCTGCTGCATGTCTAGGGAGGTATCGTTTCTGTCATTTTTTATGGCATGGAAAAGAAAAACCATCAAGAAACACCCTTTCCCTGTCATCACATGTTCTTTTCCTCACAAATAGAAAAGAAAATTGGGAGAAATCTTGCGATGCTGACAATAATTGTTTGTGACCACATACAGTTCTTTAAAAATTGTGTGTGTGATCTGATAACCACAGAAAGTACTGCTAGTTTTCATTATTAAATAAATAACTTTGCATTATTTATGATTAAACAAATGGCAATAACCTCTAAAACTGAAATAGGAATTTAGCCTTGTGCTCAGATATGTACAAAACACACAAACCCATATTTTTTTGTTCATTTACCTGTACTTAAAAAAACAGAAATGTAACTGTTGAAAATAGCTGCAAACCATGCTGGTGGTTTTTAAACAGAAAACAAAGATTAAAGGGAAACTGTGTTTTCAGTACTTAAGAAATGCTCTGGGCTCCCTTACTGGAACAATCCACTTTAAAACATACCACCAGGCTTGTTTCACCTGCCTAACCTTGCCACAAATACTTAACAAATAAGTATGTTGATTCACAGGAGTTATGTCTTGGTGCGGAAGACAAGTAAGATACAAAGACAGATTTAACACAGTTTTAACACAGATTTTTCTACCATTTTATGTTTTGGGTTTTTTTTCTAAAATGAAATCAGAACAATTGAATGTCTTTTCTTCAGCCATATCAAGGAGTCAGTTTTGGATCCAGTGGTCAGAGAATAAAAGGAAAAAAATGGACCAGTTAAAATGTTTTCAGGGCAGAAGTAAGAGACTAACATAATGCTAATATTTTGTTCTACAGTGTTTCACACGAGGATTTGAATACAAGAAACATCAAAGTGATCATACTTACGAGATAATGGTAAATACTCCTTTTAGATAACCCCTACTCAGACTTGAGCTTTCATAATTTTCCAGGAGTTAGACCTTTGCTTACATTGAAAAGTTAAGTGATGCAGGTCTTGGTTTCAGAGGTTTACAGCTGTTACAAAAAGTCTTCCTTGAGTGCAAGGAAGAGTGTCCACCTGAAACATAATGGAATAGTGGAGACATTTAAAGCTACATTTTTTAATTCTGCCTAGATAGCACAATATATCTCACTAGACTTTCAGGTCTTTAATCATGTAAATCAACTTATGTTTCTCTATTCTTTTTTTTTTCTTCCCCAGAGTTAATAATTTTTAAAGTCTTCAGTAATTTTTACTGTGTTTTGTAGCATGACAATGTTGAATCACAGCTGGTAGGTACAACATGTAACAGTATATCAGAAGATCTGCAGGGACAAACTAGTTTTTAATGTAATTGATGACTCAATGCCTTAAATAATTCAACAATTATTTGATCAGGTTTCATGGGACACAGTAAAAGTTAAAAACTACCAGTATTACATCCTATGTTGCCCTGTAGTTTAGAACTTCTTTGCTGTTTATGTGGTGGACTATAACAGAGGATCACAGTTTGTTTTGTTTTTGCTTCTCTAGACGTCCGATTTCCCTGTCTTGGATCCTAACTGGACAGCTCAAGAGGAAATGGCTCTCCTAGAAGCTGTGATGGACTGCGGATTTGGAAACTGGTGAGAATTTAGTGATTCACCCAACTTCAGTGAATGATGGGTAGTTTTTCTTTTAATTTCACTGGATTTTACTTTTGAATATATCAGTGCACACTGAATGTTCAGTGACTTATTGTGGGCGAGACAATAATTTAGCAGCTAAGGCAGGAGATGGTAGCAGATTCTGTTTTCAAATCTGCTGTTAGATAAACGGCAAAATTAAAGGCTTCTTGTGAGACGCAGGACACCTCCAGTGAAGTACAACGTTCCCTTAGTTCACATTAAAGTCACTAGGTCTTGAAGGAGCTCAACTATTGCACAAGATGTTTCCGTGCCTCAGTTTACTCCTATATAAAAATCAACTACAGAATTCCTTATCCTGTATGCTTTGGGTCTGCTTACAGTTGAGTAGCTATGTATTGTTATTTGTTGATGTTTCTGACTTCTCTGTCATATTTAGGCTAGAGCACTGGAAATATTTAACACTTACACATTATGTTAATTTCTGTAGTTGCTACAGGATTTTTATGCATTTGTAAATAAAGGAGATCTGTAGTCATGAGTTACCTCTCCTCTTCATGAAAAGCATAGCTTTATTAAAAGTACAGAACTCCAGACTTCACTGGAACAGAACTGTGAATTCTTATGTGTGCATTGCTGTCATAATTAAGGCTGAAAACTGGTTGTAGTTATGTTCTGCAAGTATGCTGTCTAGTACGCTTTGTCCTACTTAGCAATACAAGTAATCTTAGCTTTTTCCTTAAACACTTGGCTTTTTTCAGTCTTTACCAAATAAAGGGAAAACTGCCTTTTCTTCCTGGAATCTCTTGCATCTGGTTTCTTGTTTAACAGAAATTAAAATGATTGGTGCTGGTGAATTTTTTTTTTAAGTCCTCACACAGCCATTTTATTAAGACAAAATACTTTATGTTTCTAGTCAACCACTTTTCTGAGAAAGTTCGGCAAAGATTTCTATAATGTGTTTTGTACAACCATTCACTGTTTTAAAAAAATCCTGTTTATCGTTGCTGTATGAAAGGGGAAACCACTACCCAGTTAAAATCACAAAAGAAACCTGAGAAGCAGAATGCAATTCTGGACTTAGAATTTGCCATTATCTGGAGGTAGTAAACTGTACAAAAAACTTTCAAATAACAGTACTATATTTTTGAACATATAAAAAATTTGGCATATCCCATCATACAGGGATTTTCTCATGTAAAGACAGTGAATTGCATTACTCGTAATACCAAAAAAGTGCTCCCTAGCACAGTACCCTGTATCAGATGTGTATTGGCTCAGCACTAGTACGCAAAAATGTGACTTTAAGCGTCACTGCATATCAGTTCACTGCACACAGTGCAATCGGTCTCTTGTCCAAAATTATCTTTGCCCACTAGAGAAAATAAAAAAACCCTCAATGTATCTGTGTTCTTCCTATTAAGACTCCCCCTCTCCCCACTTCAGGCAGGACGTCGCCAACCAGATGTGTACAAAATCCAAGGAGGAGTGTGAGAAACATTATATGAAACACTTCATCAACAATCCCTTGTTTGCATCTACGTTACTGAACCTGAAGCAGGCGGAGGAGGCGCAGCACAATGAAACAGCCATTCCGTTCCACCGTGAGTATCTGCTGCCCACTGGCACACAGGCAAGGTTTCCACTCTTCCAAAATGGGAACAAGGAGCGTTTGGTGAGAGGCAGGCACCACACGCAGAGCTTGCTTTCATTCCCAAGAGAAGAGCTTGTTCTCATGGTGAACTTGAACAATGTTAGTAGTAGGGTTTTCTTCACACTGTATTAAATCATGGGTGTATGAATAGACAAGACTGCCAGTTCAGTGGGAAAAGGGAGGGAACAGAGTGGTCTGATACAGACATCAGAAGTTCCTGCACAGCCAGTGGAGGTGGCCACTCACAGAAGTCATCACAGCAAAAGTCTGGATGTGCATGTTCATTTAAAGGACACACTATCGCAAAGCTACTTCACATGTGGTGTGATACAACAGCACGTCCTTCATGGTAAATACCAGTGTGAGTTCTCACCCTGATGCTGAGGGGGTTGCTTTTCTTGTCCAGACCCTGCACAGCAATGTTAGCTGAGAAGGGATTTCTACCTCTAAAACATTTCATCTGATTAGCCACTGTGTAGCGGGCCTAACTGCTGATGCGATTTGTTATAAAATCACTGCCTTAAAACTATGCTAAATTCACATCTCTCTCTTTAAAACCGCCTTTTGCCTTCAGCAATTTAACACATTTTCAGCTTTCCTTAAGTTTAACATCTTTACAATTCCCCCAGTCTAGCAGCTGTTCCAATATAAAGCTCCCCAGAATGGCTGGGTAAAAATATTGCTTGGTATCTGGAGGTTTAAATTTCTCAATAAAGTGGTTAGAGCTAAAGCAGTAAGAACTGGACAATTTTTGTTCTGTCCCTCACTGTCATTGATTTTTTTTATGTGACCTGGGCCACGACAGATTCTCTGTGCCTCAGCTTGCTTTATCTGTAGTGTGGGACATATAATACTTTACTCCTTCACATGTGTGTTGTGAGCCTCGGTCCATTATTGTCAGTAAAACACCGAGCTCCTCAGTTGGGAAGTGCTGTAAAAATTCAGAGCTGCATAGCTTTAATTGCAGCTCTCTGTAAATGGCACCCAGAAGATGGCAGATTTAACACCCCTGTTGCCATTAACTAAAACAACCTGCACGCTGAGACCAAGTGTTCTGCAGAGGTTTACGGGGCTGATGCTGAGCTCTGAGATGTACAGTTTACATTTTATAACTTATTTATTACCTTGAATTTCTGTGTTTGATTTCTGAGAATACTATGAAGGTCTCCAATTACTGCATTTTTCTCCGAATGAACTCGGTCTTTTTCTGAATGTAACACTGAGTAAAAGCCCAATCTGAGTGTTTTTCTTCAACTAATTATTCCCACTTTTCCTGCAAAAGAAACACCTATTTACAGATAGTTTTGTGTTTAAAAAAAAAGACCCCAAGCCCTACATTACAACTAAAAACATTTGTTTTTTCAGCTGCTGATGATCCCCCACGGCCTACTTTTGACTCCTTGCTCTCCAGGGATATGGCTGGGTACATGCCAGCAAGAGCTGACTTTGTTGAGGTAAGACTTTCTCTTCTCCCATTGTTTTAAATTTGCTACTGAACGCAAGATTATCAATCACATACTTGCTTACTGCTGCCTGTAGGTCTTTGTTCTTCATATAAAAAAAGTTAGAAGAGAGGTCAGGACAGTAACTAAACCAAGGATTTAATTACAGAGGTGGCGCTGCAGGCCTGCAAAGCTGCTGCTGGGCAGTCTGCAAGTGGCTGGCTTTGTGTGAGGGGCTGTAAGGCATGCTGCTACCACCAGATGTCCAGTAATGAATGGCTCTTATGTAAGTGGACTAGATGTTGTGAATTAGATGCTTAGCAAAAAGGGTCAGCTTCAGCATGCTTCTATTTCAATTCCCTTAGAGAAGCACATGTGAGCCCGATCCAAAGATCACTTGAAAGACCTGCATTGTTTTCAGCATTTTTAGCTGTGGGCTCAGGGCCCCAACTCCTGTTGCAAAACAAGCTCCTGTACATGAAGCGATGAATTCAGCCATATAGGGGCTTGTTGATTTTGTACGTTTGAGCAGAATTTTCACCACAGTGTGGGAGTCGTGGAGATTACCTGGCTAATTCTAATTATCCTATCACAGCATCCTGTTCCTGTTCCATTTCCAGGCATGGGGGTACATATCATACATTCCCTAGTTAAAGCTCCGCTGTAACGTGCATTGCTAAGGATGGAACCTTGTACAACTGTATATGAACAAATTTCTCTGTTTGCAGTACTTCTATGCGTACTGAAACTTGATACTGATTTTTTAGTGCTAGTTAGTGACAATTTATTAATCACCTCTGAACAGGAGTTTGACAACTATGCTGAATGGGATTTGAGAGATATTGATTTTGTAGAAGATGATTCAGACTTATTGCATGGTAAGTCCCATATTTTCCTACATTGTCTGAAAACAATGTTTCATTAGTTCTGCTTTTCTCTACACTTTTAAAAGGGAACCTACATTTTTAATGCACTGGGGTTTAAACAGTGGCATTTAAATGGTCCTCACTTTCAAATCTCTTTTAAAAGCTCTTCATCAACTGACGTACAAACAGTACTTATAAATATAGAATAGTGCACTTCACTCACTACTGAAATGTAGTAGTTGTCAAGTAGGCCATGACTGAAATCAAATTGTCTCCACCAGTAGTAAGCATCTTTTTAGGAAAGTCACAAATTGTGTTTTATCCAGAATAAACTCAAGAGAAAATTTAGCCACATAGAAGCGAGTTATCTGAGCTAGCAGTTTGTCTGTAAACAGGCCACAGTACTTCAGCATTTGAATACCAAGGCGTATCAAAAACCGGAAACAACAATGCCTTGATAATACTTTTCATCCCTGGCTGAAAGATATTCTTTCCATCTACATAATGTTTGTGAGCATCATAGCAAGGCACAACTATGTCCTGATTCAGAAAGAGGAACAGTTTCTTCTCTGTTGATAATACCCCTTTCCCCTCCTGTATCTAGCTTCTTAGAAGATCTGTCACTTATTCTAACCTCTGTTAGTTTAGGAAATCTGATATCAGGATATGTTGTGTGATAAGGTTGTGTGTAGCTTAAGACTCTGTGCAACACATTGAAACTGTTCTACTCTTGAAGTTGAGTGGCTTTCCAGGCATTAAAAGTGTGCACTGAGTTATAGCAGTATTAGCTGTATGTGACAACTTAATTTTTGTTGTGAAGAGGATGGTTGTTGTATGAGTCCAATTGCTGAGTTTCTGTGAACATAGCTGCCTCAATAATGCCAAATAACAGGAATTACTAAAATGATATTTTAATCCATAGAGAAGAAAATATCACACTTTCTCCCACAGTTATAAGTACATGTAGTGTTTAAAAGCACTGTGTTTATGCTTCAGAATTCTCCCATCTCTGTCAGGCAGTTCTTAGCATCCCTTCGAGACAGACAAATCCTGTTATGTACAGACAGTCTTTCCAAACTTAAAAAAAAACCAGTTTGAAATTTAGCGATGTACACAGAGCTGTAAGGAATGCACACTCCCTTGGCTCAGAAAAGGTTATGAGAATCATATGTCAGTCTCTCTTTCCTTTTGAAGTTTATTTGAAAGGGGGACTGTCTTGTGGACATGTCACAGATTCATCATGCCATCTCTTTACTGTTTCTTTTTATTACTAGTAAAAGATGTATTTTCTTCCTTCCATGTCCTATACCAAGTTCTGGTAAACTGAAAAAAGCAAAAAAAATGAAAGCATAAAACTGAAAAGCAAAATAATCTCCTAGTTGTGTTTATTAATTGATAGCTTAATGAATATTCAAGCTGGTTTTCCAGCACTGTCTTCCATACACCTCACACATTTTCTGCTGCACAGTTCAGCCATTTAAGAGGTCTACCAGCCTCCTGTTTAAGTTGTCAGATGCAAAAATCAGCATTTCTTATCTCTTCAGTATATCATAAAGCTATGCAGGGCCAGACCCTTTGGTCTGTCTAGCTTAGGATCCTGAGCATAGCAGACGCATAGGAGAAGAATGTAAGAAAAAGGAGAAGAATCTAAGGAAAGGCAAATATAGGGTGATCCTATTCCTGGCAAATCTTCCATGTTCCCTGCAGCGGTAAGTTTAGAGACTTCTTGAGCCATAGACTGTGTCCAAACCATTTTGACCAAAGGAGCTGTCCTCCATGAGCTTAGCTAACTACTGTTAGAACTATATATATTTGTACTTTTGCCCCCATAACATCCTGTAGCAGTGAATTCCACAATTGAGTTAGGAGTTCCACAATTTAATTATGTGTTGTGTGAAAAAATACTTCCTTCTATCTGTCAAATCTTTTGCCTGATAATTTCAATGGATGTTCTTGAGACCATTCTTCAGTTGTCTTCAGTATTTATTATAGAATGTCAGGCATTTGCCCTGTGAAAACTGTTTGGCAGAGGTTATGGAGCATGACCAACTACATTTTTGATCTCTTAGCTCAGGGACTCTAGCAGTTTCCTTCTCACAGCTGTCCTAGGTCTGTCCACATGAGAGAGAATGCTTCCAAAATATGAAGTCCCAGGATCTCACCAGCTGTTTTTCTCTTATATGAGAGATCTTGGGGAGAGAAGGCATTTTTTTTTTCTAAAAGAAACTTTGGAATGAGATCTTTCCCTTCTCCACATTAATACAATAAAGGAAGAGAGCCACATGCTCTCTGTCCTGAAGTTTTAAAGTTCTCAGATACTGACTTTCCTTGATTGCTTGAGAATATTTTGCTACATAATTGTAGGATTGCATACAGTAGAAAATGGCTCAACATTTGGATCTGAAGGCAGGGACATTTGGATGATTTAAGAAACCTTTGTACTTTCTAGTTAGGAAGCAGAGAAGGTTGTGAGACAGCCTTGCAGGCCCAGGTTCTCATGATCTCCACAAAGGGTGCCTGTCCCACTGCTTCCAGGCAGCAGCTCTGATGTGCCTTTCCACCCCAGCTCTGCCCACTGGCAAACTTCTTGTGCTGGATCTTATAGAAATGTCCTGGAAAAGCAGCCCTGTGGCTGTATTCCACACCTGCTTGCAACAGCTTTTTGCTGACCAAGCAGCAAACTATTTTTTAAAGGTAAAAATGTTAAACAGGGGTTTAACATTTTTTATAGCCAAGGGAAACCCAAATGGAGACTTGGAGCACAGATTAAGTATCAGCATTGTGAAAAATTCCTCTGTTTGTTTTCCTACCATACATTAAGCCTCACTGGGTTCAAGATTAAGTTTTGAAAACTACTTTTATATTCCATTTTCTGCAAGTTACTCAAGCTCAACCCTGAGAACACACTGACCGGAATAATTTCCATGGTCTCTCTTTCTTTCTTTTGTTTCACAAGTCACAGATCAGTGCTGCAATGTCTGGGTTGCATATAAGACAGGAATATTTGATGCTTTCATTGTAATGGAATTCCCTCTTCTTCCCTTTCTTCCATGCTGCTCTGCTTTTCTTAAAATTTTGTAAAAGTGATTTTATAAAAAGTTCTAGTTCTAACCTACTTGACCTGTGTTTCCTGATATCATGGCATTTTCCCTGTTACACTTTCCTGTGTCACCCTAAACAAGTTCTTAATATTTTCACAAGAAAGAAGAGTGCAATTTAATATAAGGTGGAAAGACTCCTCGGCAGCCTTTTATGAACACAGAAACCTGTACCTGCTGACTCACCAGCTCTTCCCACCACCCAGGAGGTCACAGCCATTGTTCAGTCACTTCTTGATACTAGTGAGATGGCAGAAATTGTATGAAATTTCTCCTATTTCAATTAACTTATTCAACTGTTAACTTTTATTCACTTAGTCATTTAACTTGCAAATATAATAAGTGCATGCAAATACATATTGCAGTTAAACAAAAACTTAATGGACAGATCAAAAGAAACAAGTAGTTACAAATCTAATTCAGCCCAGAGTGCTTGAATATTTCATGAATTACAAGTTTTCATCAGACTGGATTATAATATTAGTAATTTATCTTCTTCCAGGCTTTTTCTCCCCTTGCCTTGTTGTGTAAATGATTTTTACTTCTTGCTGAAACCACAGGTTTAGAAGCGAGTGGAAATAGACTGCAACTCTGGCTGTACAGTAGTGAAATTTCATTTTATAAGATACAAGGCAGTCAATGTCCTTGTAAATATTACATGATGTGTATTCTTTTGTGGAAGTTCCTGACATGCTCTGAAGGCAGATACTCTGTTTGCCCAGGGTCCTGCTTTCCTCTAGGGAGTGTGAATTTGGACTGTAGCCATTAAGTTTGTACCAACCAAGGCATGCACTGGATACACAGCCTGTTTACTTTGATTAGTTTGCATTCTTCCCATTATTTGGGCCTTGCATGCCAAACAGAGGTTAGCTAGCGGGAAACAAAGGTCTCACTCATTAGTGTTCAAAAAAGTTTTTGCAGACCAAATGAGGCTGAAGAGGAATGAAAAGCAAAGAAACTGTTTTGGACATGCTCTTGAGAAACCAAAATATTTTGATTTTCTGGAATGGAGAAAGGAACCTTGAATTTCTGCTTATCATAGGATCCTTGAAAGCTGCTCTGACCATCTCAAAGAACCTTATCATTTCCCAAAATGGAGACTTTGAACATGGTGTCAGCTTGGATTATCTTAAGTTACCAGCACAAACAACTGCCTCCCTAGTATAATCCATGGGGAAAAGCACAGGCAAATAATTTTCATTCGTACAGCATCTCTTCTCTCATTGCAATGCAGCAGGTAACAGTATAGTAGTCTGAGTTATTCATGCATTACAGATCTTGTAATCGGCCATTCCTGTGTGAATATGTCTATTAAAAACAAAAGCCCCTCCAAAAGTGCATGTGGCAGCAAATACTAATTTTTCTATGAGCAGAAGCTCCAGCTTTTTCCTTCATTTGTTCTCATGAATGTTCCTTCCCTTCCTCAGTTGATCATAATTTCTTTCAGAATACTGTGCACTCAGGTGAAAGTGTCAAAATGCAATGGTTATAGGTGCATAATTACTTGTGATATTTATAGAGGTTCTCTCATGCAGTTTCTGCATGTACTCATTAAGTTCTGCCCACACAAACCCAAGAAAATAACATGTTAGCTTAGCTTGCAGAGGTTTTCAAAATATAAAAATATTTCCATAAATTGGCACCAATTCCAACACTTAGTAATATATTTCATTCATGCTTAACTTCCTGCATTTCCCAATTTCTTGTCCCCCAATTTAAGCCAGAAGGAGAATTTGCTACCTGTCCTTATTCTAAAATTAGGAAACTTAAAATACCTCTTTACAACAATATATTATGATTCTTGAACACTAGTTTTGCAAGAAATTTGCAAAAAGAAGTAAGAATATTGTACCATCCCTCCTATCTTCACACATAATCTTTTTCTCCTAGATTAACATCAAATCAATTTTGTATAAATTGAAGATTCTTTTGCTAATACAGGATCAGCAAGTGTCACTCAAAACTGTTGGCTCCCAAGCTACTGCCATTGGGCTTTAGCTGTCCCTGTTTAAAAGGAATTTTATTACCCAGAGGACTGCACAGATGAATTGCCAAGAGGCTAGGGGCTTCCTGGTGTTTACATATGAATACATATTTTAAGAGCAACACGTAACCACACTTCTTTCTTAATTGCATTATTAATTATTTACTGGAGAGTGCAATCAATAAACTGCCAGTATCAGTTTTGCTTTTTTCTTGTAACTACAGAGAAAGGAGTGGATTCAGGATTCTGTCACACTTGGGCCACCCCTGTTCATGCCACACAGTGGGCTGAAGTGGGATATGCTCTTCTTTCGTTCCAAAGAGCTGCGTGTTGTCTCTGTAGCCTGTAAACCCACTGTCAAGTCTTGAACCTCTCCCTTCTGGGACTATATTGAAATTATTAATGTAAAGGGAAAAAAGCCAACCAAGAAATCAGCCAACTCTAAGCTTATTTAATGACCTAGAATTTTTGCATTATTTAACAATAAGAGGGCAGGGAAGGTGATAGGTGTCTCCTTATTTTTTCTTTCATGAATTTACAAAAAATGTTTATTAACCTAATGGTTACAGGAAAAAAAAGCTGAAGGAACTCTGAGTGGAGCAGCCAGATTTCATTTTGAAAAGGATATGATTTCTAATGAGCATGGCTTTTTCCTGTGCTTCTTCACATTGTCATGAACTATTCTCTTTCTTCTTCTGGCAGACAGATAAGTTTAGAAGTTAACAAGTTAAAATCTTGTAGATGTTTTTTAAGAACTGTAGCAAAGGCTACTTTGACTCTCTCTTTTTTTTTGGAGTTCCTTGTTCTGTGCAAAGAAGCCTTTGTCCAAAGATGATCCTTAAATCTGATTAATTTGCTTTTCAGGAGAAGAAATACTTAACAAATGCATGTTTGAAGGAATAAATAGGTGCTAATAGTAAAATGGTCCAAGAAGGAAGAGGAAGAAGAGTTCTCAGGATCTACCCAGGTTCACATTTACAGGCAGTAATTTATTTGGAAGCAGTAAGCAAAAGAAAGCTGCTGGAGGTAGCCTGTATAGTCTGCAGAAGGCCAGCCTCTAGTGGGTTTGTGCCTCTATAAAATTGCCACGGGATTTTTTAGACAGGAAAGTAGTGACCCTTTTAGCCTACTGTGAGCATAAAGACTTGAAAATTACCCTGATACACTGATTACTTATTTCTGTCATCTTTTTTATTAATATTATTTTGCAGCTCTGAAGATTGCAGTTGTAGATATTTATCATTCCAGGTTAAAGGAAAGACAGAGAAGAAAAAAGTGAGTTTTCAAGCTGCATTCCTTTGCTTCATTACCATGTTTTGTTCCCCAGTGTTGTCTTAATACTAAACATAAGTGATTTCCTGTAGCACCCTTCCAGATGATTCCCATGCATGGAGACCTTCTGCTATGAGATTTGCATGACGGGTTCCTCTGGGATCTGTGGTGCACAGGTTAAGATCAGGCATGTGGCTTCAGCAATGGTACCAGCCCAGAACACACACATTAACAGATCCTGATACTTGTTTTTACACATGGTTGACAAAGGACCTCTACACACCATAACTCTCCTTTAAACTCTCAAAACAAGTTATTAATTGGGAAAAGCCTGGTTTCCAGTCCTCTTTAGTGCATGAAAATCACATACACAGTGCTCTTCATATTACTATCCCAAATCCAGACATATGTAAATAACTATGGTTCTAGCACACCTTGTGAGATAGCGTAGCAGAATAAGAAGCTCAAATACTGTCTGGGAAACTGGTCACACAGGAAAAAAGGCAAATCTCTGTTCTTTTTCTTCCTTATGTAATGCTGATGGACTGCACATAATTCATTTTCTGCTTCAGGAAAAAAAAAAAGCTGTCAGTCTGTGACTAATTGCGAGACCCCCACTTTCCCCATAGAAATGTTCGCATCATTATTTTCAATTCTTAGTGGTCTGTAAGTTAGTTTTCCACAATGTGTAATGAAGATAACTAAATTGCTGACGTCAGTTTGAATAATTTATTCAGTTCATTTGACAGCTTTTTAGAATGACTCAATATATTAATTAAATTCAATTTTATTACAACTTTCAAATACCTTGTTCAGTATTAAAAATTATATCTTGCTGTATTACTCCCTGCTGGAAGAATTAGTAATTTGGAGTAAGGCTCCTCCATTTCTTCTCCTCGTAATACAGCATAGTTCTGCTGAATTCTATTGATCTGGTTCTTTATAATTAATAAATAAAAAATATGTGGTATAATTTCCATTCTTATAAATCATGACATACTAAAAGAAAGTGTCAGAAGGCTCAGTTACATAACTCAAATCGGTGTCAGTTTTTGTAAGGTTCCTACAGCAGGATGGGACAAAAATCTGGAAAATGACATCAAAATGCTGATGTTACTTTCAGAAAGGCTTCTCTACATGGGACAGGAATATTCTTTTATACATACTAAAGAAAATGTAATGGATTTTATTAGAGCAAATTCCAGCTTGATCTTGACAAGCCCAAGTTTGTAGTATCTCTTATTATTTACAAAAGTCAGGTGTTTATCAGATCACCACACAGCAATGACTACGTGACATTTGCTGAAACCAATTACAGATGTATTTGTCATGCACTTGTAAATATCTTACCTGCCTTTTTACCCTGCTCATTTCCCTTGTCCTGTCAGGAGCAGTTCAAACTTATGGGCTACCTAAATAATTTTCCTTTTTTTAAAATCTAAGCTGTCATGGAAAAATTCCTTTATCCTGCTCCCAGTGGAAAAAATTACAGTCCATCTCTCACCCTTACTGTAGTAGAAGGACGTCTGTCTCTTGCTGAAGATGGAAATCATGCTTCAGGAAACATTTGCTGTCCCTCCAGCTTTGGAAGGCCAAGTTATCAGACACTGCAGATGCGAAGTCAGTGCCTAAAGAAGCAATTTCAAACCTTTACAGCAATTGTAGCTCCCTTTGTGCTTAGCGCTGTCAAAGTGGGACTAATGCACACCACTACCCAAAATAGCTGATTGAAGCTGCATTGCATCACTATATCACGTTTCTCAGCTAGCCAGCTCAAGGGTCATGAACATTTCATACGTGTTCAGTTTTAGACCCCTCTGATGGTCTAAATCAAAGTCTCTTCTGAAGTCTTTGCATTTATGAGGTACTACATTTGTTAATGCCTTTTATTAATACCATTTTGCTCTCAATTACAGAATTATAAGAGATCATGGCCTTATCAACCTCAGAAAATTTCAAAGTGAGTATCAGGTGTAACTGCTTAACTTGACCTCTATTCAGGAAGCCATACTTCACATGTTCACTGTTTCCAGTGCACCAGTGTGGTTTATTCATACTGGACCACATTCAGATGGTCTGAATTCCAGCAGGTTTCCTGCCCCAGCTGTTTCAGACTGGCTGTCTCTAGCCACTGTCAGCCTAGTGTTTCAGTTATTGCCTTGGAATTGCTCTTCAGAAGCATTCCAGTCTCCACTGAGTAGGGAGAGGGCCAAAGCTGAAGTCTAGTTTTTTTTAAGTGAATCTCACTATCCTAAGAAATGATCAAACATTTAAAGATCATCCTTTATGCTTTTAGAATTGTAAGAACTGTGTAATTTTGCTGCTTTTTACTCAGCAATTTGTAGTTTTGAGACCAAAATGGGCAAGAAGTGTCCCAGATCTGGATTTTTGGGCAGTTCACAGAGGCTGGTAGTCACTTCAGGTTCCATGGAATTTGTTTTCTTCTCACAGTAGGAGTGATAACGTGCATTACTTCTTTCACCCTTTAGTTTTGGAAAGGCGATATCCAAAGGAGGTTCAAGACCTTTATGAAACAATGCGACGATTTGCACGAATCCTTGGACCGGTAGAGCATGATAAGTTCATTGAAAGCCACGCATGTAAGTATTTGGAGGATTTTAGCATATATGTTCTTCAACAGGCATAATAAGGAGTTGCATCATCTACAATCTTTCCTGGAGAGCAAGAGGTTGTTTTTCTCCTCCTCCCCATCTAACTACCTCAGAAAAACAAATACATTTGTGGTTTGATACATTAAATGAGTAGCAAGTGGTTTTTTCCACTAAACTGTGTCTGACTTCTTTGATTTCTCAGTTGACTGAACATTCTGGTCATGTGTTAGTATTTCTTATCAAAAGACCACTATTCATTTACTGAGACTCTGTATCACTGAAGAAACAAAATCCCTAAAATTTATGTCTATTGAGAGATGGGGTGCTGGCAGCAAATTGTTAATTCTTTGAAAGATACACATTAAACTATTATATGTGCACATAATTATATAGTACAGCTGTCATTATGTCCCTTACCTTAAAGGGAGAGGCATTGTTCCATTACCAAATCATCTTGAGTCTTTATGCATAATCATAGCATCCAATTTAGTCAAATTCCAGTACAAGTCATTACATCCTGCTTAATTCTCTGACTTAAACAGGGAAAATCGTTGCACATAAGAAAGAGCAAAGCATTTAAACAGTTGTGACTATTTTCAGGATACCCTATGTGAAATACCAAAAGTATGACCCTGCAAAATCATGCTAGTCCTGGAACCTAGTTTTGTTGTTGTAGTGACAGCAAAGTCCTCAAGTTAACCTGACAGTCAAGTGAACAGGCATTATACAGATCTCCTGGGGAGTACGAGTAAACAAATTCAAGACAAGTAGACTTCCTCGCTATAAAACTAAGCAATGCCTGGAAGCCAGCTGATAAAAGCTATAGGCAGTAAATATCTCTGAGCAAAGGAAACATGGGTATTTAATTGTATTGACTGCAGAAAAAGAGCTGTCTGGAAGGAAAAATTTTGGAAGGTCCAGTTATGAAAATGATAGTTCAGAGAATATATTAGATGCTACAAGGAGCCTGGATGGAGTAGTTTTTCAAACCTATCGCAATGCCTTCCAGAAATCTTACACTATTGTTATTTGCCTTGCCCAGGGTATGGAAAAGGAACTGTCAAAGCATGAATATAAAATAACATTTCTGAGCACACAAGTGCTAGAAACCAGCTTAAATCTGTGATCAAGGAGTGTTAGGACAGAGAAATCAGATGCGGACTTGTGCAGAGAGGTTAACCCTGTCTGTTCTGTGTACTTCATAGCCGAACTGTGCAGACAATAAGAAATAGCAATGTTCCTCACACACCATCGTTCACTGCTACCCTCACTGACCCATGTTTGTGTTTTGGATTTCTCTTCTGCTTACTCTTGGGGTAAAACAGTGGAATTTGAGCTGCGAAGGGAAATAAAGCGACTACAGGAATACAGAGCAGCCGGAATCACCAATTTCTGTAGTAAGTACCTGATGCATTATTTAGCCTATTCTCATTCATCAAGGTGTGGAATGATGATTTTACAACATTTAGGATGCGTGGAATAAAAAGACACTTATTTTTGAAATGCATTTGTCTAGCTCTTTAAGTGAACAAGGCTTTCACAATAATGCTTCAGTCCAGCTGTGCTTTTTTAAAGCTGGTTCAAGTCATCAGCTTGGAGAGCACGCTGTCTAGCAGAGCTCTGCTTTAGTCACCACTTTGCAAAAGATTCAGAAAAAAAATATCTATGTCATGGCACAGTGGTCTCCAGTGCTTTATCTCTGGACACTTTTGCTAGTTATCAACAAGTGTGATAACTGGAAAGAGGGCTAAGACCTTTACATGAATGAAATGGCCTGTTTTCTCCTGCATTTGGATCATGGAAGACTTTTTTGTTTGGTTTTGGCCTGAAATAAAGAGGGGAGGGGTGAAGGGTGGAATCTAATACCTTCCTATGCCAAGTAGTTGTCATGAGGGAGAACAGCAGAGTCTGGTCCAGTGCTAGAGAACAGTTTCTCACATTTTTCCTAAAATGGAAAAACAACAGCCTGAAAATTTTGACCAAGGCAGCTGGTGAGAATGTGGTATCTGTTTGCCATAGGTGCGAGAACATACGATCACCTTAAGAAGACAAGAGACGAGGAACGCCTGAAGCGCACTATGCTCTCCGAAGTCCTGCAGTACATCCAGGACAGCAGCGCCTGCCAGCAGTGGCTCAGTCGACAAGCTGATATGTATGGTTACAGTAAGATTGAGCGTTTTACATACCTATGCTTTAGTCAGGTGCATCAAACACATTTTTCTGTGACAATAACAAATGCATTCCCAATTTATTACAGTAGGAACAGTCTGCAAAATTCAGAAGGACAAGAAATTATGGATAACTGCAATAGTGCTTGTTGAATTGCAGTCAAGAAAGTGACTAGTAAGGGTTCAGAAACTCAGTTTTCTGTATTTTATATTTCAGGATCTTAACTGCTGTTAATAAAGTCATGGAGGGAAATGAGGTCTCCATGTATATTAATGAGGGCACAGATGACACTTGAAATGTTTCAGATTATTTTAAGTGTAGCAGCATTATTAATGCGTAGTCACCCTGCACAAGCACTTTGATTTAAGGAGCAAGCTGCAATGCAAAGGAAGTACATCCTGTATGCCACATGGTCTGAGAAGACAATTTGGAATTTCCCCAGTCATGCTCCACTGAATTTTTTATTGTGTCCCTTGCCTCTCCCCACCCGCCTTTTTTTTTTTTTAAGCAGGTTTCAGACATTGTCTTCAACCTGGAAGTGCTAAATATTTAGAAATCCTATTGGCTTCAGATCAGGGTCTGGGTTATGCAAGTTGAATTGTATATTTATTAGTAGTTTCAGGACCAATATATCCAGTTATTCTAAAAAAAAAAACAAAACATGAAGGCAATGTAAAAATTTCCTTTCTTTTCAGTGATTCCGGCCTGAGTCCCATGGTACCAGTTCCTTCAAATTCAGGTAACTGTTAGGTGATGGTCTGTGATAAAAACTCAGCCATGCATCAGTAATACCATTCTGACAGCCAGTTGGGGAGTGAATCTTGCACGAGTGCTAAAGCGTCAGTCCCCAAGCCTCATGGTTAAGCACTGCTCAAGTCATTATTACCTCAGTCTGCGACTCATTCCATGTGCAAATCCTGTAGGATTTTTTGCTGAATTTCTAGATTTTTTGACTACAGGTGGAAAATTCATCCCAAAGCTACATTAACAAGGCAGGAAAAAAAAGAATTTTCACATGAGAACAAAATTTTATCTTTAAAAGATAAAGCTAATCCAGTTTTTTTTATGAAGCTGTATAGCACATACCATAGCAATAGGAACCTGACAGAAAGCAGATTTGGGAGGATAAACACCAACAAACAGTTACCTGAGAAGCAGGTAATGATTGCAGCATCAAGCACTCTAAAGTGACAGAATGAGATGATACAAATTGCCCATGCAACCTCAGTTTTCCTTTTCTATAAATATGCTTTTATAATCTTTAATTCTGTAATCACAAATTATGGGTTTTTCTCCCACCAAGAAGACCCCTACTTCTTTGAGTGCCCAGTAAGGGCAGATTCAGGGGTCAGTCAAGACCCTCATGAACAAGACTTCTGTAAAATCTCATCTCATTTGTTGAGGTCACAGCATGGCATGCAGTGAATGAGACTAGGATGAAGTTTTACTATAAGGCTATTAAATGTTGCCAGGGAAAACTGGCTTCTAGCTCTGTCTCCGTATCCAGATTTTATGTAGATGCTTATAAACCACTTGAACTAAACTTCTCGGAGGTGGCCACTGAGTCTGAATGTTCTTCTTCATTTTTGCCAGGAGCCTTGAAAAGTTGTGTCAGCATAGCAAGCAATTAGTCATTGCAGTGTGCACTGTCTTTTAAACGTATTTGGTAAGCACTAAGATCTGGTATTTTGGAGAGAAGATAGCATTGTGTATCTCAGGGTGGGCATCCACAGTCCATGAAATGAGGACAGTTTCCCCTCAGCTGAAGGGCTAGCATGATGTGACTTTTTTGTCAAGTATTCAGTGGTCCAGGAAGGAGAAGAGCCCAAGAGAAGAGGAATGGTTTTGCCTATGGAACTTAGATAGCATGCAGTGTTTACAACCAGCGTCACATGTTGAGCAAAACCCAAACAAAATACCATCTAGTTATTAATGAAGCAAACATCCTGCGTACTGAATAAGGCAAGGGTACTGCTGAATAACTGCCACGTGTCTATATAATTAAAGGCTGTATCATACTGAATATACAAAAGGGCAAATTAATGTTGCTTAACTTTACTGTTACATTTTGGGATCTTGACTTTGCAGCCTTAGTATGTTTTCTTTAATGTAGTTTGTGTGTGTGTGTTATTTCCCAGGTTACTAATAGAGTAAAACCAAATTCCATAATGTCCCATCATAGTATGTTCATTCCAGGCCTTAGAAACAGAGAACAGTGCTGGGAAATAACCTCCACTACACCTATCAGAGACTCACTACTCCAGCTTCTTTCTAGTCCTCCAGTTCTCTCTCAGATCAGGGTCCCCTCACCCAGCCAGACTGCCAGCTGTCTCCTACAGATGCACAGGAGAAAAGAGCAAGAGGCTTTCCAGTCCCAGAAGTAGGACTCAGACAGCACAGGGTCTGGAGCAGTGGCCAGCACAGCCCTAGAGATAATGATATTGCAGATTTCGCAAGATCTCATCACTTTGCCAGATTTGGGAAGTCTGTCCTGGGATAGAGAAAGTGCTCTCTGGCAGTGCCAAATATGCAACCCACAGCACAGGGGCAACAGACTTTCCAAAAATGTAAACTCATTCTAGCTTTGTTCTGAGCTCTGCAAGTTAAAATAAAAATACTATTAGAAAAAAAAAAAACCAACATAACCTGCTAGCAGACAGCCCTCAGGAAAGTTTAAGCTGCACCAGTTACAGTTCAGCAAAGTTACAAACCATAGCAAAAGAGAGAACTATCAGACTACCTTCCGATAGATACTTCTTTCATTACTGTTCATCAAAACAGACAAAAGTAAATCCACAAACTACATTCGCTTTACAATATCTGCATTGTATTTAAAGACATTTAAAGAAAACTCTGCTTCATGATGATGTTAGTAAAGCCAGAGAAATTGGCTGCAAATCACGCCAATAAATCACAGCATCCTTGCAAGGTACTGGTTTCACACCCACTGGGAGTTAGTCCTGCACTCTGGGCACACCCGGGCACACCCTGCACACAGCAAGGACCTCCCTGACCCCGGCTGGAAGAGTTGGTTTAGTCAGGAGGCACAGCCCAGTGTAACTGCGGTCGGGGCAAATTTGACAGAATGCTATTGTCTCACAGTTCCTCCTACAAGCCAGTGAGCACAGCATGAGAGCCCTCCTGCAAGTATTCACAGCGCTTAACTACGCCAGTTGCAAAATCATACCTTTTATCAAATCAGTGCAGTTTTTATGTTAAGCCCTAAATATCCCTGTCTATAAACACTTGGATCATACTGGGTTAACATCATGGGGATTTAATTGGCTGAGTGATAACACACCTAAGGAACAGCCACTGCCAGAGTGTGCAGAGTTCTTTAGTGCTTTTCCTTCTTGTCTCCGCAGGCAGACGGAGTGCCCCACCACTGAACCTCACAGGTCTCCCAGGGACAGAGAAACTTAACGAGAAGGAGAAGGAGGTGAGGAAAGGAACGGAAAGATAATCTATACAAAACTTTCTCTTCACAGTGCAGGGGTGCTCACACCATCTGCTCTGGTGCTGTGTCACCCTGGTTATATGCCCAGACTACTCTTTCCTGCTCACAAAAAGCATTCAGGTTTTTTAGTTGGCTTCTTAATTTCAGTTAGTGTACTCTACGTACAACATAGCTGCAGCAAATTGGCTTAGTTAGCAAAGAAAGGCGGAGAGCACTAAGATGTTATTATGTGCTATTATAACACCCAGAGTATGACATCTGCTCTTCCACTGTTGTGAGACTGGGGTGAGCAGAAGGGTTATTTTTCTTAATGAACATTGGTTTTAAAACTGGCAGAGGATTTCATCAAGAGCTAGGAAAACTACTGAAAGAAAATATTTATTTTTTAATAGAAGTCATAATCTGTCCTTAGATTTTCCACACAACATATTTCAGTGTATGTGAAACGCAGATGCATTTCAGAGTTTTCTCTCTGTGTGGAAGCTGTTTCCCCTTCACTGGAGATGGCAGCATTGAAAATCAGATCACAGATTCACCATGGAACATGGCATTTCTGGCTCCATTCAGCATATAAACAATTGTGCCTAGGACATTAGTGTATGTAGGGAATCTGATTTCCTCATCGGCTGAGACACAAAGTCTGAGTTCATCTGAATTTTGCAATTTCCTATCGATGAGGAACAATCATTAAGCATTTCCTTATTAAAAAGAGGAGACAGCCAGTATCTCCACTGGGAGCAACACAGTGCACCAGCTAGAAGGCAGCTGGTATTTGGAAGCTAAATGGGAGCATTGCAACCTCACAGCAGAGCACAGGGGCCTTTGAAAGCCATTCCTTTTACCAAACTTCCAAACACACAACGCCCTCCCTGCAGTTTCCATCCTAGACTTCCAGAGGGGGCAGGCGTTGTGTACATAGCTGCTTTTGTAGAAAGGTATTAAAGACTTAGTCTGCAGGGGATTAATAGACAGATGCCCTCCCTGGCTCTCGTCCAGCATGCTGAATTGTGGGTTGCAAGTCTCTTTGGCATGTGTACTTCCCTGGGTTTGTAAAGAACAACGCCCACACAGGATACACTCATAGTTACGCTCCTGTGAGCCGAGAACTTGCTTTCATCCTCCTGGTTTATTTTTTAGTCGGGAGTGTTTTCTGAATGCAGCAGCCAGCAAGCTCCTCCTCTCCCTACCTGTGGATTGGAACAGCTCAACACACAATTACTGCATGCCTCCCCCATACAAAAAAAACAAACACATTTAAAATGTTTTCAGAAAAATATTCACAATGTTACTCCTCCAACAGAGATAGCAGAATGAAAGCGCATTACAAGTGTTCGTGTTTATTAACTTCACCTTTTGTTTTCCAGCTCTGTCAGATGGTGAGGTTGGTCCCTGGAGCCTATTTAGAATATAAAGCTGCTTTAGTGAACGAGTGTAACAAACAAGGAGGCCTGAGACTGGCGCAGGCTAGAGCACTCATCAAGATCGATGTGAACAAAACCAGGAAAATCTATGACTTCCTTATCAGAGAAGGGTACATCACAAAGGCCTGAGGACAGACATCACCTCTTTGGCTGGAGCAGACAGATGTGGAGAAGCTTTGAAGTCACTTTGACAGTGCTGAAAGATTTTAGGTGTTGAATGAAGGACATTTCCTTTTGTTTAAAATCTTTGGGGGCTTTTTTTTTTTTTTGTAAAAACAAGTAAGGAGCTTTGTTAAATTGTGTGAACGGTGACATTGCTTTGTCTGGTTTCCTTTTGACTCTGCTGTTTTAACGCTGCTGTCAGAATTACGCTGCCACGTAGCGCTGGGAAGAATCATATGCCATACAAGCTAATCTTAAGTGTGAATGGGCATTCATTTCTAACACCTCTTGTAACTAAAAGGAGAATCATGGTACTTTTATTCTGACAGTGACACAGAATAAGGACAGAACAGCAGCACATAATGAGAGTCACACTTTGACTTTTTGTCAGTACAGGGGTATAGAAAAGCAGTCCCCTCCCTTCTTGTACTCCTTCCTAAAACAGTGTCAGCTTTCAAAGGAGATAGCACATGCCCAAGGGTATAAAAATAGAGCTTGCAGTGGTCCAGTCTTTTTAACTTAATTGTGATAAAGGATGGGAAAGGACATCGCAGGGAAGCTCCTCAACAGTTGTTACTTTTATGTGATATTAGCACATATCACAGTGTGAGAGCACTGTACAAACCAATAAGCTTCATCTGCTTGCTACTTGATTTGTGATTGTGGAGTTATATATAATCCCACAGTTTAAGTCTTCATTGCTCCGGCTCGCTGCAAAGGCTGGGTGTTACAGCCAGAGCAGCCTTTCCAACAGGAGTAAAAAGCCGTTCAGTACCCCGATGTTCTCCCCCAAGTGATAACAAGTGAAGAGCACGACAGCTCGCCCAGTGCACACACTGCAGCCCTTCCTGCCCTGTACACGAGGCCTCCTCTCAGCCCACCACAGCAGCAGCAACACCCCCAGCTGACCAACAAAGCAATGGTAAGGTACAACAAGTTCTTACGCACACACCAGCCCACACGTCACAGCTGATCCATCCTATGACTTCAGCATGAAACATTTGTGTTTGAAAATACAGTTGGATGATGAAGATGGCTCTTTTCAAAGCAGCTTGGTATGGTCACTAGACAGTAAATTTTTCATCAGACAGTGTCCCTTGCTAATGTATAAGGCTGAAATAACATCCCATAAGTAACAACAGCCAAAGCAGGTGGGATGTTGGGTGCTCTCAAGTTTGGGATCTCGCGTGGAAAAGCCAAACTGAGCTACGATGATACCGATACCTGTTTAAGGTGTTTAGGTTTGTGGTTTTTTTAATCCCCAAGAATAATTACCCTGTGTACCTAAGGTGCCATTGAATGTGAAGTGTTTTGGTTTGTAATAAAAATCAAAATGACATGAAACAACCTTAAATCTGTGTTCCTGGACTCCAAGTGAGATGGTAAAGGTCATGCAGCTGCCTGTATCTATATCCATCAGCTCACTGTGAGAGAGGAGAGATAAATGCACAACAGTGGCTGTATGGATGTGACCACTAAATTACCTAGTAAATACTCCTATTTAAAGAAAAGCAGCAGTAATAAATCACACATTGAAGAATAAAATCTGGAGAAATTGAGACTTTATAATAGACTTGGAATGCTAAGGGGAGGGACAAAGTAAGTTGTAAATCTTTGCAAATGTTTTCCCCAGTTGTCTTTTAACACTAAACAAATAGAAGAACTACCTTTCCTCTTTCCCAGTCTCTACACCATGACTTGTATGTGAGCCACATACACTGGTACTTCCTAACAGCTTGTGACACCGGCTGGGGCCAGACTGGCTGGTGGGGGAAGGCGCAAGAGGGACCACTTCACCCAAGAGCTTTCAAACCACTTCCAATCAAATAAAACCCAACGAAGAGACAAGTAAACCCTACCCAAACGGTGCTGGCTTAGACTGAGCTCATCTGCTCAGATGCAAGCTCAGCTCCACTGGTTCTTAAGCAGGGAAGACTTTTGGCAGGAGGCTCCTCCAGGGCACAGGGGCTCAAGCCAATGCCAACAGATCCCTGCCCCTTCGGTGACAATCACTGCTGGTGCTTCCTCCTCTCCACGCTCTCAGGAGCACCATTAAGCAAAGAGGAAAGAAAAGGCAGTGCTCAGGCGCAGGGCAGCCCCACTCCCCATCACTTTTGTCCCTGTCACTCTCCTCCCAGCCGGGTCACACTGCTAGGGCCCCTCTGAACCATTTTCTGACGCTTAGGGAAGGTGTTCCTTGGGAGAAAAGCTGCCCCGGCTGCTCTCTGCCATGCCAGTCCCTCCTCCTTTAAATCCCAGTTCCTCTCCAATGCCCTCACAAAATGTCTCCGTTGCTGCCTGCCAGACTCGGTTCCAGCCTCCCAGAAGCTAGCTGTCGCCGCGATGTCATTTGGAGAGGTTTGAAAGGGGCGAAGCTATCTTTATCCACACCAGGAAGCACCATGCGCAGCTCTGGCACTGTGCAAGTAATTAACAATAATGAAAAGTTGGGGTTGCCATGGATATGCCGTTCTATTTACAACACACATCTCTCCCCCATCACCCAGACCCGCGCAGCAACTGAGGGAAATCAGAACCCCATTCACTGCCTTGGCGTGTGGTTTTATTTATAACCGGGATGCTGTGATAGGAAGGCAGCCAGGCAGGACGTCGGGGGCAGGACAGCGGCTGCTCCTGCCCCTGCCACCAG